GACGAAGGCGGCGAAGTCGGGTGTGAACTTGCGCAGGTACCCGACCAGGCCTAGGAGGCGTCGAACGCCATTGACGTCTTCCGGGGGAGAGAGGCCTTGAATGGTGGCGATGGGCTTTTGGGAGGGGTAGATCTTGCCGCCGCGGATGGTGACGCCCAAGTATTCGAACTCGGACAGGCCTTTTGCGGATGTTGAGAAATACTTCGCGATCGCGCAGTCTCTGGAGTACCCATTCGACGTTGCTCATGAGTGACGGCCACGAGCTACCGTAAATTACGATATCGTCAATGTAAACGAGACACCCGCTCCCTAGGCGGTCTTCGAGGAGTTTGGTCGTCATCCGTTGGAACGTGGCTGGAGCGTTGATGAGTCCGAAGGGCATGACGCGAAATTGGTATAGTCCGGTAGGTGTGCCGAAACCAGCCTTCGGTTTGTCTTTCTCCTTGATTTTGATTTGGTGGAAGCCGGCCTTGAGATCGAGGGTGATCACGTATTCCACTCCCTAGCTGGTCGTGAAGATCTTCGATGATGGGCAGCGGGAAGGTATCCGGGACAGTGACGTCCTTGAGGGAGCGATAGTCGACGCACATCCGCCACTCCCGGTTGTTTTTTTTTGAACCATGACTATTTGTGACCTCCATGGGTTGTCTGGGTCGGGTGGGTAGGTTTCCGTGATGGGTGGCCAGCCTTTCGCTGGCTAGGTCGACGGCGGCGCCTAACTGTTGGAGTGGGGGCAGCCCCAGCATCGGGTACTTCATCATGGGTGTCGGTAGGACGTAGAAGTCCAGTTCAACGACCTGACCATTCACCGACGTGGTGATGCGGACTTGCGAATCGCACTTGCTGCATCCGCCGACGCCTTTGACTTGTAGTGGGTTCTCGAGGCCGGTTACGGAGGACTGCGTTTGAACGTCCAGGTGTTTGAGCAGTGGTTCCGGGAAAATATTGACTTCCGCTGTCTACCATAAACGGCAGTAGACGTCCTGCCACCGGAAGTTGCACGTGTCGACAGTTGCGGCGGTTCACCTCTTGGGCCCCCACGAGTAGACTCTCTGTAGTTTCTACCCGTCCACCAGCGTCTTACGCAGAATCTTGTTGCGAGTCTCGAATGCCTTGTCTGGTGACATTCGAACTCCCTTCAGTTGATTCAGCATCTGTCCCGGGTCGCCCATCATGTAGTCAATATTAGACCAGTGGGTATCTATACGAAACCCACTGAGACTACGAAGAACTGGTCACAAGGCGTCAGACTAAGGTAGACGCTGAGCCACGTATTGAATCAGGTTCAGAAGCATCGACGGAAGATGAATGTACACCATCGATTGCTAGTTTGAGAGCGCATAGCAACGACAATCGGTCGGCTATTAAGCTTATTGAAGAAGCAGGGGGCATCCCGTTTCCGTTCTGCGACGCTGCTTGGCATTGTGGTAGTAGCGGGATTCCTTCTCGTTGTTGATTTCTCGTTGTAAATGTTCGCGAGAGTCCGTAGCAGTGCTCTGTTGTTCTTGATGTCGTCGATGCACAGTTTGAATGATCCTCCTGGCTCACGACGAAGGAATGCTTGCCGAGTGCCTAGTGGACCCTTCCTCGTGATCTGCAAACAGTCGTCTTGGAAGTGTCCCCCTTTGTTGCAGTTGGGGCACACGGGCTTCGTAGGGCATATGAAGCTAATGTGCTCTTTGGAATCGCACCACTTGGCGAGACGGTCTGAGTGGTGAGCAGCGTCGTGCTCCTGCGGCGGCGTCGGGCTTGTGGCGTGAACGGCAGGCTCTGCATCTCGGACGAGCTGACGGGCACGGTGGATGGCCTTGATTCTCTCGACTAGGTCTTGGAGTGAAAGGTGCTTGAAGCGGACGCCCGACCGGATTTGCAGCTCGATGTCCTTGTCGACCTTGCGTAGAAGACAGTAGCCGTAGTCGAGGCAGCGATATCTCCGCGATTGTCCCCAGCGACGGCAGAGGGCCTTGAAGCGTGAGCGGAGGAGTAGGAAGTCCTCTATCACCTGCAAGGCATCGGCCTTCCGGTGTTGACGTTGTAGGCGTGCGCAGACGAGGTTGATCTTGGAAGGGGAGATTCATGAGACCTCACCGGGCTATGAGGTCTTGGTTGATGGAAGTGGTTTTCAGGATGATAATCTCCTTCAACTCCGCTGGAGAGTACAGCATGGAAGATGCGACCTCTCAATGAAGAAGAGTTCGACGAGCTCCTTATCAAATGGAAGCGTGTCGCATCTTCCATGCTGTACTCTCCAGCGGAGTTGAAGGTGACGTCGCCACCGAGGCCTTTGATGAGGCAGCGGACTCTTTTCTTGTCTGCATCGGACGAGGAGAAGCGGTCGAAGATGGTTCCTCGTCGCTCGAGAGAGGGTCGTTACCTTCAACACCGGAATCGTCGAACATGACCCACTCCGTGGTTCCCTTGGGGGACCCCGAGTGGTCAATAGTCTTCGGTGAAGAGTCGCGGTCACCCAGGTTGTCCACCATGTTTCGAGGAGAGGGCGCGCGACTGACTGAAGGCTGGTCCATGACGACGATGCTAGGATGGTTTGAAGGATGATGATGAACGGGAGAACTGAAGGCAAGTGGAGGTGAACCCCAGGAAAAAGATGAATACTTATTCGGCGTTATCTTAGCTGCGTGGCCGTTGGTTCGCCAGGGAGGGGCTTCCTCAGGCGCATGGCTGAGTAGTTACACGACTCATGAGTAGTTACACGACTCATGCGAACGTTTAAAAACAAACGTTAAAATCTTTTGGTTGTTGAAATTTATTAGAAATGAAGACGCTCTCATGCAACGCGACGAGCAAACTGGAGCGGCTGGGACTGCTGGCGTCGCTGATGGATTCCGGTGGGATGCGTCCACCTATTGACGGCTGTGATGTTATGCTCTTGACACTAGGTGACCGAAGAGGAGACGCTTGGGTTCAATTCCTTGCAGCAGCACCGAAGGAGGCCATGGAGAAGCTGATTGAAGCAGCCATGGACGCTGACGCTCTCACTGAGGAAGCAGCCGCATTGAATGAACGCAAGAACGTTCACTGGCTGGAGATGTGCTCAAGAATTTTCATGTACAGCCCGTATGGTCAGGCCAACACTTTGGGCGAACAACTGGCCATTCGGTGCATCAAAGAGCATCTAGACACCGTGGACCCGGAGGGCGAGTTCTCCCACGTTTCGGATCGCATTTGGCGCGAGAGCATCAGTGGGAAAACGTCGGAATTGGTCAAGAAAGCACGCGATGATGGGTCGCTTGAAGATTTGGACTATCAGGGTGAAGACCTGGCGATGCGGCTTTTGAGAGTATTGTCCGATATTGAGTCAATCGAAGAAACAGGCTCGCTGGAAATAATAGACTGCAAACCTTTGACACCTGCGGAGGTGGCGGGCGTTCACAGTAGTCTACCGGAAGAGTGGCTGCCGCTGCTGCCGGAAGCGACCCGGGACAGCGATGTCGAGTGCGGCCTGAGTTGTGGGTCCACTCGATACGTCCCGAGCCGACGCTGCCTGATTGCTTCTGCTATTTCTGCCGGTGCTGTTGTAGTTGGTGGGACACTTGGGGGGCTGATTTATGCTTTGAGTAGCGGTAACTCACCCGCGATTAGTTTGGTGACGTCTGATCAGCTGCAAGAGAGCACCGTGAAAGGAGCTTTGTTGAATACTACCGACGTGACTCCGACAGAGCTTACCACAACTACCACAACTACCACAACCACCACCACTCCATATCCAAGTCGTTTCGGGACCTGGATGACTGAGTCCATGTTGAAAGAGCTCCAAACTGTAGAGCCAACATGCCAGAAGCTATTCGACTCCTTAGGGTATAAGACAGGCAGCTGGCCCGTTATGGACGCAGATGGAGGGCCATATCCATGTGGTGGTGGCAGTGGGCAGTTGCTATGTGCAACGCGTCAAAACAACGCCGTAGGAACGTGTTATCATTTTGGCGGTCCGTGGACGTACGAAGCCTTTGCGGTAAAGGAGGCGATTGGACATTATCTACAAGACGGTAGAGAATGCGTTGTTCGATGTGATGGTGAAGAGGAGGCCTTACGCAATTCGTGGGAGGTGACCCAAAAAAGTTTATTGTCGATTCCACCCTATCCTGGTCGGGGGTTCCTAAAATTCACTAACAGAATGTCAATTCCCAACCTGAATGACTTCGAAGCGATGATGCGCCCGCGTTATCCTGTGGAAGAAAACTGCTCCGGATCGTGTGTCGATTGTGTTGAGGATACTGGCACCAGGACATGTTCCTGTAACTTTGCGCGAGTCAAGTGTCAAGTCCGAACCAAGGCTGAGCAGCAGGAGAACAAAATTGAGCTAGTTGCTTATAATGAGGACCCGAGGTTCCTGTTTGGTTTGGTGTCTCCCTTCAGCAAGAAGAAAGACCTCTATCAGGTAATGGGTTGTGACTACGAATGCCGTAAGGTAAGCCCGGATGTTGCCGCAGCCTTCGCTGAAGACACGGAGGTACGTATT